GAGACTTATCAGCTGCCCTTCTATGTTACTGCTAAAATAATAATGGGCCACTTTATCCAACTTTACTGCCTCGATACTGACTTTGGTCACAGAGTGATTGAATTTCGTCTTTGATCTCATTATTTTTGAACTTTTTTATGCGTTTTTTGCAGCACGTATTACGGTGAACAGCGAGCCACCACCGAAGAAGCTCAAAGTGGATGATAAGCCAGCGGCAAAATCGTCCCGTTTAGAGAAAGAGGCATCATCGCAGCGGCGGCGAGTGCTGGACCCGAATGTAGCAAATTTGCATGAGTATCAGAAAATGATGAATGCTGTTGGACGCGGAGCGGTAGCACACGATCGAAAAAATGCTTTGCTGGGGGATGGCGATGATGAACTTTTTGATGAGGTTTAAATTTATTCAGTGTTTTAGAAGTTGTCTAAATTCTTTTAATTGTAAATTAAAAGTAAATACGGAGGAACTTAATCACTAAAAAAAGTGGAAGGGAGTAATTTTTGTAAGAAGGAATTTGAGTGTGTGTAGTTATCGAAAATTTTTGGTTACAGAAGTGCTGTAAGCGTATATTTCACGTATAATTCAAAAAATCATTGGAACAAATTGTTTATTACTGTAGGATGAGGAAGATGGTTTGAGACATCTGGAGCCTCCGCTTGATGATTTACTCATTGGTGTCGATAACTTACTGGAGGTTGCTCCGTCGTCGCCAACAGCAACAACATCTGCGCCAACACCCTCAGCATCAACAGGGAAAAGCCGAAAAACAGGTTTGTCTTCCATTTCGATAATTATCTGTTATCTCTGTGAAAGTTGTGACATTCTTCTTTGTAAAATCCGGTATGACTTTTATCGCTGAAGTTAAAGCAGCTCTACCCCGGCTAGGCCACCTCTTCCTGAATGCTCTGACTCGACGAATAAATTGTGTAATGCGCTGATATGTTGGAATGAATCTGCACAAAATCACTGCTGCATCAGACGCGCTAGCTGCAGAAGGTATATCAATTTTTTCTGTTCATTCATGAGACGATGTTACAATTGTTTGAGTCTAAATCTGTTTAGATTAGATAATGAATGAAAGAGCTGCTTCCGTCCACGAAACATTCCAGACGTCCAGTTTCGAAATTTCGAGAATCTTGCTGTTTTTTATGCGTTTTGTGTTGTGTAATAGCAGTACAAATCGATATTGTCACGGGGTTGTCTGTGTGTGTGTCCGCAGCAACTTGTCCGCAACTTTCAACTCGAGAACCACAAAAGCCAGGAAGCTGAGAATTTAGGGGAACGTCCCCCACTCGCGCATGACCCCACAAATTTAAATTCAACCTCCCCGTACCGGCGGGTAACAAGTACGGCCTCGAAGTTTGGGCAAGTAAAATTATTATCACCGAAACCACGGAAGTTAGAAGACTGAAATTTTGTGAGCATATCCCTTGCCCATATGCAATCCAGAAAATTTAAATCTAGCCTTCTTCTGTCCGCGGATCGCACGAACGGCCCCGTGAAAATTTTGGTGGGTAAATTATTATGTCGGGAATTACGGGATCTAAGAAACTGGAATTTTAGGACAACGGCCACCTGCCCACGCACGACCTTGCAAATTCAAATTCAGCGTTCTCGCTTTCTCGGGTGTCATCTGCAGCCCCGCGAAAGTTTTGGCACGTAAATTATTATCTCGGGATCCAAGAAAGTTCGGAATCTGGAATTTTACGGTGATTTGCCCTATCAACGTATGATTTCCGTAAATTTGGATTCAGCCTTCACGCGCCCCTGGTACACGGATGGCCTCGTGAAACAGGGAAACTGTCTCGTGAACTGCAAAAGCTTGGAAGCTAAAATTTTAGCGTAACAACTCCTGCCCACGTGCAATTTTGCAAATTTTCAACGTCCCTGTGGAAGTTTTGGCAAGAATCTCGGGAGTCAGAAGAATTAGGAGGCTGAAAATTTCAGAAGGATGTTACTTATCTAAGGGCCACACAAACTCAAATTCAGTACCTAAGTGTGCCAAGGTCTCATGTATGACCACGTGATAGTTTTGTTTGAAAGATTCGAAAGCCAGAAAAATTAGGGAATTGAAATTTTGGAAGGTTTCAAGTTCAGCTTTCATGTGCCGGTACGTGAGATTTTTAACTATTTTTCAACGTTCCAACTTTTTTGCACAGACTGAAATACAAACCAGTGAAAATCATTAATAGGCAGTCGTTCGGTGGACAGAGTTGCGCAAAACGCATGATCGCACCGGCTAGTCTGGTGCGCGTTGTTATTTATTTTAAATTAGCTTGAATTTTTTTACGGTTTCACGTTCTCTGGGTACAGCAGCCGCTATTATTTCACCACGATATTCCTTCGCATCATCTACATAGCAAGCTTATAAGTTTGTTCGTGCACGTTTTTCCTTATAACTTTGTCCGTCTTAGTTTAACTCTTCTTTACACTGCCTTGCTGTGTCTGCCTTGTTTTGTTTAGACACCCTTTAGCAGTCTGATTTATCCATTTGTTGTCTCTTGTTATTTTAAAGTCGTTTTCAGCTTTTTTTTGCCCGTAGACTTTTAACTGGCAATATTCACTGTCTTCAGTTTTGTTCTAGTTGAAAATTCCGAATTTGTATGGGATGTGGACGATTTGTATACTGATCTGCATGAAGACTTTCCATGCACCTCGGCTTCAGCGGAATCTTCACATTCTCAGCGACCAAAGAGTGGAGTTCGTGCCCGCCGGACTGCAAGGTTGGCGCATTCAAAGCAATCCAACTTTCTGGATGTTCTTTTTAAGAAATACAGGTTGTAGCAAATGATGCAACGAAACAAAAACCTATAAAAGCGAAGTGTCTCTTACATCTTTATGGAATATTTATTTCCAGAATTGTTAGTGATAATAGCGATTCGGAAAATGAAATCGCAGTGGTGCCACCTCAAGCAGCTGTCCATCGACGAAGTACTGGCAGCGAGCGGCAGCTGCAGCTTGCTGACTGCGCTCGGTCTGCTCCAAAATGCAGCAGTAATCGTGACGCGAGAGAAGCTGAGAAGACGCTGCCACCGGCTCGGCATAGTAATGAAACAGTACAACCCACTGAAGACAAAACAGTTTCAACAGCAGCGACAGCATCCTCAGCAAAACAAATTTTCGTCAAACTCATCATCAAACAAGACGATGGCACGCATTTTAAAACTAAAGGAATGCCTTTTTCAAGGTCATTATGCTTCTGTTCGGTTTTTATGCGTTTTTTGCAGCAATGCAATGCGAAAAACGCATATTGACGAGGAGTTGTCTGTGTGTCTGTGCATCTGTGTGTCTGTGTGTCTTTGTGTGCGTCTGTCACGCACTTTCATCTCAGGACCTATAAAAGCTGCGGGGCTGAAGTTTCGGAAACTTAATCTACATGCACATACCGCCCCGAATCCCTAAAATGGGCGCCAGATCCC